TATCTAAGTTTACCAGTGTGCCATATTTATTAACCCTCTTGCTTAGTTACTTTTCTGTTGGTGTGATAAGACCAAGAACAAGGGAACTTATAGACAAAAGTAGTCCTGTAAGGAGTTAGAATCCATACTCGTGATGAGGGCAGGCATTGTAGCAGGCAGAGAGAGAGGAAGAGGGAGGGAGGGAGGGAAGGGGAGAGGAAGATAACTGGGAATCCTGTCAAAGCCCCTTTCTCCAGTACCATACCTCCTCCAACAAGGCCACACCTCCTAAACCTTCCTGGGAACCAAGCTTTACATTATAGGAGGCCATGGGGCTATTTTCATTCAACCCACCACACCCTCTTCTGCTTTCCATTGCCACTTGTCTATTTGTGTACTGGCACCTGCTGCTGCGCCTAGTTAGCTGGAACTCCCACAATTTGGCTTTTGCCCCAAATAGTTAACCGCCCACTGCTCATGCATGTGTGGGTTTGTTGCTGTTTGTCCCCTCCCCCACCCCACAGAGATTCTCTGTGTTTCCATGGCTGGCCGGGAACTCACTCTATAGATCAGGCTGACCTAGAACTCAGAGATCCACCAGCCTCTGCCTTCTAAAGGCTGGAATTAAAGGCTTGTGCCTCTAGGCCCAGAAAACCCTTCTGCTTTCAAGTCTTTGTTTTTCTGAATAGCTTTCAAATTTTTTTATATGTGTACATGTATATACAGAGTTGCCATTTCTTGGTAGCGGTTTCTCATGAGCCATCCATCTTGTTATTTGAGATGGGGTCTGTTATTAGAATCTGGGACTCACCTGTTGGGCAAGACTGGCTAGCATTTAAGCCTCAGAGATCCCCCCTGTCTCCATCTCCCCTGCACTGGGATTATAAGCAAATGGCACAGCACTCAGCTTTTTACATGGCTGGCTGCTAGAGATCTGAACTCAGGTCCTGGAGTTTTCAAGACAAGTACTTTTACCAACTGAGCTCTCTTCAGCCCCCCCCCCCTTTAAATCTAGATTATCCTAAGCTTTTATTGGTTCTCATGTCCTATTGAGCATCCTCAGACCAAGTGGAGACAGTCTCTAATCCTTCTTATGCCAAGGCTTTCTCCAAATGAGAGTTCCTAGGTCACTGTAACAACACTCAGTTATACCTCCCAAAAAAAATGTGTTGTTTTACAGTCCTTGGTCAGGTTCGAATGTCACTGTATTGTTGCATGCCTAGGAAGAAACCGCTGTATCCCAGTCATTACTGACCCTTTCTGTTTCCCCTAGGTGGTATGGTTTGAGTGATAATTTACACAGGACTCCCCTGTGATGGCTAAGGAACTTAGCCATCTCTAATAGCTGCTAACCTTTGTCCTGAAATGCCTGTGGGATATGAAGAAAAGTGGTGTTACTATTGTGAAGTAATTAGCCTCTTTGCTCTGGCTTTTGTATATCCATTGATGGCTCTGGGAATGCGATGAGATGGTCTCTTTATCTCTATACAATGGGGGTGACAACTGAAGGGAGTGAAGCCATTTTCTCATCCAGCTGTGGGATCCTGTCTCAAAACAAAACAAAATAAATCCTCCGGCACAACTGACATTTGTTGTGAAGGCTGCCTACCTAGAGACACTATTCCTTTTATACTGAGGTGTTTCAAATAATAATTTTAAAATAGCAATGGATCATGCTTAAGTTCTAAGGTATCTAACCTTTGAGTGTAGCCTTTTTCTTTCCCAGCTGTAACCTGCAATTTCCTAGGGCTCTCACAAAAAAATCTTATTTAGAGTACAAGGCATGTTCTATCTGCCTTGAGTAACCTTTTTGACCCATGGCTTTACCTAATCAGATTGCAAGCCTATCCAAAGGTACCTTTGGAGCCACCTTATCTTACTTATTAAAAAAGAAAAAAAAAAAAAAAAAAAAAAAAAGGATTCCTTAACAGCCTTTAGAAGCTGTAACTTCAGAAGCCACTACAATTGTTTGTATAGTTATAGTTCAGGCACTCAAGTGTGATGACTCTTGCTGGGGAGCCCACACCTGTCCTTTCTTTGGGTGCCTCTTTATTAACCCTTATGCTAAGCATTGATGGCACAAGCCTTTACTCCCAGCACTCTGGAGGCAGAGGTAGGTGGCTATTTGTGAGTTTGAGGACAGCCTGGTCTATAGGGGGAGTTCCAGGACAACCAGGGTTGCACAGGGAAAGCCTGTCTGGAAAAATCAACCAAACAAGCAACAACACAACAACAACAGAAACCTCTTCCTAATAAATTCCAACTATGCTTCCTATTGGCTCCTGAAATTCTTTTCTGTGAATTCAAGAATCCTGGCTTCACCTGAGTAGAGGTCTCTGAGAAGAACCCTTTGGGCGGCTGCAGAAGAAAGCCTTTAGCTGTGTCAACAGCCTTTGCCTCTGTGTTATGCATATGTATTTATGCATATGTAGGCGGGCATACACACACATTATCTATAATCTAGCATTCCTCTTTACACGGGGTAGCATTCCAAACACATGGTGTTGCATATTCAACTAATTCATCGGGCATGTATTTAGTAAGTGCCTGGCACTGTTCCAGTGATAAGGTAAGACAGCAAACACTAGGGAACAATGTGCCTGTCCTCAAAGGAGTGTACACTCTAGTGAGAAGAAAAAGCAATAAGCAAATGCATAGTATAACCATCAGACACAGGATGGGAGCAGAGGAAGAAGAGAGAAGAACACAGATAGAGTTGGTGGGCAATCTTTAATCTAGTTTAAAGATATTCGGGTCAGGTCTTTTTCGTAGTTACGGGATGTAAGTGCAGAGGTACAAAGTAAGTTAGGAAACAAACCAAAGGGATATCTGGAGGTGAGGACCTGGATGCAGAGCAGTGAAAACAAAGGCCTTTAAACAGAAAGTCTGCTTGCCTTAAAAAAAAAAAAAAAAAATAATAATAATAAAAAAACACAAAGTCAAGTGTTGAGGACAAATCTGTGGTAGAGTGTTTGCTTTGTATGTGTAAAGTCCCGGGTTTGATCAACATTGCAAAACTAAAACAAAGGCTGGGAATGAGGTTGGGTGAGACATGGCGGCACAACTCTAGAGGCAGAAGCAGGCAGATCTCTCAGTTTCATGGCAGCCTGGACTACAAATACAGTTCCATAACATTGAGGGCTATACAAGGACCCTGTTCCCCCATCATCCCCCCCACCTCCCCAAAAAAGTAGAATCGAGAACAGGACTAGTTGAGGGACCAGGAGATCTTATTACACCCACAGCTTAAAGACAGGCAGGTCAACAAGTACAATGTTCACATCTGTAGCTACTTTGGATCCTATTATTTTAGTAGGGGTTTGGACTTTTGAGGAAGGATCTCACTCTAGCCCAGGTAGTGGTGAAACTCTCTCTCTCTGGAGCCTAGGCTTGTCCTGTACTGTCAGTAATCTTCTTACCTCAGCCCCCCCCCCCAGTGTTGGGATTACAGGTGTGAACCACCATACCTAGTTTGACTCTCTTAATTCTTTTTATGGATGTACCTATTTTATGAATGTATAACCATTTATTTGTTCAATATCCTAGCAATGCATATTTAGTTTCAACTCTTGCTTTTAAGAATAATGGAGTTTGTGACAGCCAGCCCTAATCTGATGGCACTGATACTGTTTGCCTACAAGAAACCACTCTACTCTAGTCATTAATGACCCTCCTTTCCAGTTTTCAAAGTGGTCTGGTGTACAGGACTCCCCTGCGATGGCTAAGGAACTCAACCCAGTACTAGATACCTCTGATAGCTGTTGACCTTTGTCCTGAAATGCCTGTGAGATCCTAGTGGCCTGCAGGTGTTAGCCATGTGAGATAAGAAGAAAAACCCAGGGGAGTGAAGCCTCTTCCTCGTCCAGCTGTGGATTCCATAGAGCATGAGATACCTGTGCTGCCCACCTTTGTTTGTCCACCTTTATAAACCCTTCTTTAGCCCTCTCTGGTAGAACAAGCTCCGGATTTGCTCCCAGGCTGTTGTCCTGCTAGCAATAAGAATAAATCGTTTAACCTAACTTCAAATTGAGTCTAAGTCTTTGGTCTTTCCTAGTGGTTTGAAGCTCCACAACAGTTAAGAGCGTCTTTTGTGCTTTTAGGGTCCTGTGATTCTGCAGATTTTCCAGGAAGTGGAGTTGATGATTACAAGTTATTTCCCATGCTGAAATTAATTCTGATCAAATTCTACCCCCCCAACCAACTTTACTCACTATTTGACACAGTGGAGATTATAACAGAGAAATTTGCCACTCCACATCAATTTCCTAGTCTTTATTTCCAGTCAAGGGGTTTGAGCTTGTAGCTCAGTGGTAGAGCACTTGCCAAGCAAGCCAGAAGGCCCTATTCCACTTCTTCCACCACCAAAGTTGGGAAGGTAGAAGCAGAGTTCAAGGTCATTTTCAGGTACATATGGAGTTGAAGACTAGCCTGGGACACACGAACCCACGTCCCCCCCCAAAAAAAAAGAAAGAAAGAAAGAAAGAAAGCAAAATAAGAAAGGGAGGAAAAAAGAAAAAAAAAAAGAAACCCCAAATCAACTAACCAAAGGCAAACAAAACAAAACAAAAACAACAAACCAGCCAAACAAATCTCATTTTATTACCAACCTAGCAAACTTGGCGAAAGGGCCCCTCTACTCCACATACGGTCGCCTTTCGAGTGCCAAAGATGAACGGAGACACGAACAGCATCCGAGGTACAAGCCCTCCCCTAGAGCCTCGCTGTTTTCCGCGCCCATCTTCCCTGGGGCCACCTCTCTGGGGAGCTAAGTTCCCAGACTCAGGACAGCTCCTTTCTTCTTCCTCCATCATCTCCTCGCTGTTGCTGAGCGCCCCCCCCCCAACGTTCTGCGTCCCTTCCCGGCCGCCGTAGCGCGAGCGACGCGGGAGTTCAGCCGCCGCGTCGCCTAGGCAACGGCTCGGCGGCGGGCAGCGGGCGCCAGGCGGCCCCGGGGAGGCGCTCGCGCCGGCGGCCCGGGCTCCGCGAGGCGACGAGGCGGCAGGTAAGCGGCGGCAGAGCGGGCGGGCACGGCTCGGAGAGGAGAGGAGCGGTCCGCCAGGCTACCGGCGAGGGACGGGCGGCGAGGACGCGGGGCAAGGACGGAGGGCTGCACTTTGTCCCCTGGGCCCGGGAGCCCGCGACGACGCCCTCTGACCCCGGCCGGGTTCGGGTGGGTGCGCTTTCGGCTTTTAGTCTCACGCGTCTCTCGGGGCTCATTGGAAAGTTTTCTTTTTAGATAACACATTTTTAAAGGCTCCTTTTCTGTGAGGGCTGGTCGTCGAGTGACTAGGAACTGAAGAGAGCGTATGCGTGTGCCGCTCCCCGGGGGGCCGTCGAGATTGGACTTATTCCTGCGTCAGTTTTCTCACCTGCACAATGGGGATAATAACACCTGTCTTGTAAGGTGACCACTGAGTGTATTTATATGTAAAACCCGCGATACGTGGGAGCTTTCCTTCTTCCTATTGCTACGAGGAACATCATTGAGGATTTATTGAGAACCAGGGCCTGGGCCGATCGCCAGCGGTTTACAAAAGAAAAAAAAAAAGTGAGACGTCTTGTCCTTAGCGAACTCCACTCCTGCCCATAGGAAACAGACCTATGGACAGGAACTTGGTGTAATGAGCTACTGTTTTGCACGTACAGGAAACTTGACTGCAGAGAGGGCAGTTGTAGACCTTCCCCAGTGAGAGTGGTGGTTCTAGGGAGGATACACAAGAAGGAGATAAGGAAGCCTGCAGTTGTGTTGGCCAGGAGACGAGGCTGGTGACGTGCCCAGTGTTAGGAAGACTGAATCCTGAGGAGAGCCCGACTTGTAGAGAATCTCCCAAGCATTTCAGGCGTGCGCCCCCACAGCCTGGCTGAGGAGTCCTCTTTGTGGTGCTGGAGGTCCAAGAGACCCTTGAACATATTAAGCAGGTGTCCTGCCTCAGGGCTACGGTCCTTGGTCTTCCCTCACAGAGTCCAACATCCAGTCACAAAACTCTAACCTAATGATCTTACCTAATGCTGATTCCCTCCCGAAGGTCCCACCCCTAGATACTGTATTCAGATAGTCTCTACTCATCTTGAGCTGCCACCTCACAGTGGAAATGAACCCTTAGGAGATACATGCATACCACACTGAGTTTGAGACACCAGGGAAGAAAGCCACTTCTCGGCATGGAGATTAGAGCTTAGGCAGGAATGTATGCCTCCGACAGGTGGCTGGGCGGTGGGAGGTATTAATGGAGTACTTGTGGTCAGGCTTGTCGAGGGAAAAGTGTGAGTTAGCTCTGTCTGGAGAAATGGTGAGAATGGTAAAGGGACAGTATTTCAAACACATTCAAAAGCAATGCTTACAGAGCCCAGTTGTGTGGCACCTGTCTGTCTTCCCAGCATTCGGGAGGTGGAGGCTGCAGGACCAAGAGTTTACGCTCTGGCTGTATACAAGGTCAAGGCTAGGCTGTGCTGTGTAAAACCTTATTTCAGTACATAAATACTCACACACACACACACACACACACACACACACACAAGTTCATTAGTTTATTTTGAGACAGGGTCTCCCTGTGTACTTCTGTTTAGCCTGGAACTTGCTTTGCAGGCCAGGCTGGCCTAAAACCCAGATACTCATCTGCCTCTGCCTCTGGGAGTAGTATAGGATTAAAGGCGTGCCACCACACTTGGCACCATTATTTATGGTGTTGAAGGCTGCAATATCAATACTGAGCAGTTGTGGTGGCTCACACCTGCAATCCCAGCACTCAGGTGGCTGAAGCAGGAGGGTCAGGAGTTTGAGGCCACCCTGGGCTATGTAGCCAGGCCTTGTCTCAGCAACCCCCCCCCCCCATAAAACCAAACAAACAAGAGATTTAAAAAGGACCCAGATCTGAGGGTTGCTGCTTTGTATACTCTTGGGAGAACCATTTTGGAAGTGGAAACCAAGGGAGGGTGTGGTAATGAAGGCCCAAGGCAGAGGTCAGCTTTGCTACATGCCACCGAGATGGCAAGTAAGAGAAGTTAAAGTAAGAATGTGCCATCTGAATACATAAGTTCCAGGGGGTCACTAGGGACCTGACTGAGCAGATGTGGTGAAATGTCGGGGGTGGAATCTATAATGTCCCAGCTTCAAAAGGTTCGGTGTAATGTATCAGTGGGATGAGGTAAGAGTGGGATGTGAGAAGACAGAGTGTAGGCAGCTTTGAGAAGGGTGGCTGTGGAGGGAGGGAGAAGACTGGAGAGCGATTGAGGAGTAAGGGAAGGGTGTTTTTTAAAGCATGAGAGAGAGCTTAAATGCAGTTGGCATAGAGCTGGTGGGAGGGAAAGGCTGAGAAGGCATGGGAGTGGAAGGGGAAATTGATAGCACAACTTTTTCTGGAAGGTAAGAGTGGATAGGCTTAGGGAGAGAGGTTATTGCTAGCAGAAGTGCGGTACCGGCAAAAGGCAACACGCACAGATAAAAGGCATCATTGTTGGCAGATAGCAGGCCTTTTTTGGATTAGTATCATAGTAAGCATTTCTCATGCACTAATCTCAATATAACCTGTTCTGTTGGTGGGGTGGGTTGCTGGGGATTGAATTGAGGCCTGAGTGTTCTAAGCCAGCACTCTACAGTCCTCAATAAAACAGTCTATAAAAACCTTATGAGTCAGGCCCTGTTATGATCTCAAGTTCGTTCATGGATGAAAGTTTATGGTAAAATGGTTACCCGGAATCATATTTGGATCTTGTGTTTTTGTTTGCTGAGTGCAGAGCTTTTGATCTTTGTGTGTGTGTGTGTGTGTGTGTGTGTGCGCGAGCGTGCGTGCAGATGTCATGTTCTGCACCTGTGTGTTCAAGTGGGGTGTTAATACTCTTGTCACTCACTCTCCCATCTTTCACTGAACCTACAGTTAGGCTGGTAACCAGCCAGTCTAAGGAATTCCCTTTTCTCCATCCTTCATCGTGCTGGAGTTACAGTCATATACAGTCACACCTGCACTTAAAAAAAAAGTTATTTTCTATGTATATGTGTACCTGTTTGTATGTGTATTAAATGCATATAGAAGCCCTAGGTACTGGAGTTATGAGCCACCATGTGGGCACCAGAAATCAAAGCTGGGTCCTCAGTAATAGGTAGTAGTAGCAACTACTCTTAACCTGGAGCCATCTCTCAGCCCCACCCTTGATTTTTTATGTGGGTGCTGGGGTTTCAAACTCTAGAATCTGCATGCTAGTGCAGCAAGTATTCTTACTGAGCATCTCCCTAGCACAGAGCTTTTACTCTTATTTACTACCTAGATGGTGTAATGCTGAGATATTTCAAGAGGTTAACTTAAAAATACTTAGGTATAATAAGACTAACTGAGCAAATAGCTGCGAGAGAGAGAAAAGACCATGCCCTCTTCTCTCTCTCCTTTTTCTCCTTTTCTTCTTTCCTTTCTTCCTTTTTTCTTTTTCTTTTCTTTCTTTCTTTTTTTTTTTTTTGTTTGTTTGTTTTTCAAGACAGAGTTTCTCAGTGTAACAGCTCTGGCTGTCCTTGAACTTACTGTGTAGATCAGGTTAGCCTCACAGAGATCTACCTGCCTCTGCCTCCCAAATGCTGAGATTATAAGTATATGCCACTACCATAAATCTTCTGAAAAGAGAGAGAAAAGAAAAGAAAAAGTTTCATAACCTTGAGATCTGCTTCAGAGCATTATGTCTGCCATGTTGGCATTTGTCAATAACTCAACAATTCGAATTTTTGAACGATGCAAATTCATACTCTTTCTTCTTGTCCTTGAAGGAGCTCTGTGATGTGGGCAAATAATCATTCTTGTTTTCAGAGGGGAAACTAAAGGTAAGAGGATTCAGGAGACCCCTTCTGGAAGCTCTGCCGTCTAAGTCCTGGGCAGTAAGATCTTCGTTTTCCTATTCAGTTCCTATATATTTTTGTCCTCTTTCCCTCCCTTCCTCCTTTCCTTCTCTATTGAAGATAGAACCCAGGGCTAGGCAAATGATATAATGCTGAACAATAAATTCCCTCAGCCCTAGTCCCATGCTTCTTTTGAGACAATCTCTAGCCCAGACTAACCATGAATTTCCACTAAGTAGGGGAAGATAACTTTGAACTTCTGAACCTACAGGTGTGCTTCACCATGCACAGGTTCCTGTGGTTTTGGGATATCACACTCAGAGCCTCAAGCAAGCTATGCTGGACAAGTACTCTACCAACTGAGCCATGCCCAAGCCACTGTTCATCAAGACTTTTTGGAGTCATATTACAAATACCTTTTAGAAAAAGGCACCTTGGGAGTTAGTGATCTTGCCTTGTTTCTTTCAGTGGTTACAGTCTCTCCACCAGGGTTCCTAGCTTTTCTCTCCACAGTGATTCGTGGAGAAATCTGTGATTCTGTGTTCTACATAGCAGGTGCAGTCAAAGGTGAACTTAAAAAAAAAAAATCTTTGATCTTGCCGGGCAGTGGTGGCTCACACCTTTAATCCCAGCACATGGGAGGCAGAGACAGGCGGATCTTTCTTTGTATGTTGACAATTTCATAAATGTACACAGGTGTGTGTGTCTGTGTCTGGGTGTGTGTCTCTGTGTGTGTGTGTCTCTGTGTGTGTGTATGTGTGTGTATGTGTCTGTCTCTCTCTCTCTCTCTCTCTCTCTCTCTCTCTCTGTGTGTGTGTGTGTGTGTGTGTGTGTGTGTGTGTGTAACCGAGTCCAGTTAGTGCTGCCTGGTGGGATGTTGACTGATGTTGCTGCCTTGATTATTCAGGGCGTGTGCGTTTATCCACAGCTGTAGTGAGTCCATACCTATAAAAGCCGTGTTATGTCCAGAAGACTGCACTTCACACCGCTCTTCCCCATCTGGCTCATACATTCTTTTTTCCCCATCTCATGCAGCCTTGGGCATGGGGAGTGTGAAACAGATGTCCCACTTAGGCCTCAGTACTCATGGTCACTTTTCTCAGCATTTTGACAGTTATGACTCTCTTCATTAGCCACTTGCCTAGTACAGAAAGAAGCGGTGACTAAGGTTAAGAGCAACACAGACAGGTAGAAATATTTAGAAGGCAGTTTGGTGACATGAAAAATTTACCAAAAATAACAATAGTAGGTTCTTCTCTAGAGCCTATGATGTCTTCACCTGTGGTCTTTTGACCAGGTTTATACTACCAGGCATGAACTCCCTCCTGTGGAGCAGGCCCGAAATCCAATCA